TTCGTGTCGATAATTGTGAGGAAGTAATTCGCGGTGTGGGCCGACGTGGGTTTGATGGGGCCGCAGACGTCTGAGGACAGGCTGTCGCCTTTGTCGTCTGTGTGGGTTGCCGTTTTGTGCGGTCGTCGTGCGGTCTTTCCGTATATGCACCCGCTGCATGTTATTGTTGCGCTGGTGTCTGGTAGTCCTTGGGGTAGGGCTGAGAGTAGCCTGTGTTTGGACATGTGCGCAATTGTTTTGGAGTTGGCGTGATTGAGCTTAAGGTGCCATTCCGACATTTGTTTTTGTGCCTGTGTTGTCTTTTTGTATTTTGGTGGGGGGGCTGGGGCTGTGCGCATGTTGGGTGCTCGTGGTTTTTGTGTGCGCAATGGTATGTAGCTGCTGCGTTGCCGGGTCGGGGCAGTTGAGATGTGTTTGTTGCGCGGGGCGGCGTGGGATTGTGTTTTTGTAATGTGTTTGTTTTTACGGTGGTATGTGCGTGCCCCTTTGGCTGTGGCGTCTTGGTCGAGCCTGTATTGCCCGTCGCGGAATGTAGCTGTCATGATTGGCGTGGGGAGGTGGATGGGTTGGTGGAGGGTTGCCTTGTTTCTTGCGAATGTTACTTGTCCGTGCTTCGTGAGGTCGTGCACGGACAGTAGATTTTCCTTGACTTGCGGAGTGTGGACAGCCGGTATTGTCAGCTTGTTATTCTTCTGTGTTATGGTTATGAGTCCCGTGTGTGTTATTGGCACGCGGTGTCGTGGTTAGTGTCCCGGTGCTGCTTGGCATATTCGCGTGGGGTCTTGCGGTATGCGTGGTGTTTGCACCGGAGTCCAGTATGAAATTTGGCTTACCGTCGGTTGTGTCTACGTCGGTAAGTGTCGCTTCAAGGGTGTGTATGCGTTCTTGCGACTCGTGCAAGGCGCTGTGGTTTGGGTCTGCGTCGCTGTCGTAGGCTTGTGCTGCGTGCGCGTTGACCGTGTTAGTGCGGGGTGTTTTTCTACACGCGTAGCATTTTTCTGTTGTGTGTGTTAAGCTGCCGTGATGTATGCACCATGGCCCCTGGTGTCCCGTTGGTCGAGGGTATGTTGTTTTGCCTCGAGCTGGTCGTGGGAAGCGCGCCCGCGGTGTTCTGTGTCGAGGTGCGTGCTGTGGTGCTGTGGTGGTGGGTGCTGCTGGGGTTTGTGTTTGCATCAATTGCACTTGTTGTATGTGGTGGTTCAAAGCCTGTATGGTGACGGGTGGGTGCCCTGCCATGATCATGGCTAGGGTGCTCATGTCTGGGTGCTGGCTGGGCCCCTGTATCATGTATCGAACGGTCGTGCGTTCGTCATCTATATTGGGGTAGCATGCACCTTGCATCTTGTACCTGAGTTCCCGATGCTGACTGACATAGTGTTTGAGTTGGGCTCCGGGTTCGTATTTGATGCTTCTGGCTTCAGCGTCCAACATCTCATGATTTTCGGTTGATGTTGTGTCAACGACTCCTCTTATGATGCGGCAGATTACGTTCGGTTCGTACCGGAGTACGTGGGGTGGTAGTGTCCTGATGATGTCCGGTGTTAGGCTTTGCATGATGGCTCGGCGTAGTTGGTCTACTTTTTTTTGGTTTGAGGCCTCCGTGCCTGGATCGGGGTCCGGTGTGTGGGGTGTGTTGATCTGTTCGACGGCGTCGATTGTCCGTGCCTAGATTTCCATTGCGTCGAACCAAACGTGTAGTTGGTTGCGTCGAGGAGCGGGGGCTGTCCCGCTGTGGTTGCTTGTGGATCTGTCATGTCGGTTTCCTGTGTGCCGGGGTGTGGGAGGTTGGTTAGTCGCTGCGCTGCTGTTTATCGCGGTGTGGATTGGTGTTGTTGTGCCGCGGATCGGTTGTCAGTGGTAGTGTGTGGTGCCCATAACCTATGATGCCAAGATCAGACCGATGCCTCCGACTCCCGAAGGTGGCCGAGGCGACGGCGACTTTATTCTGTTTACTGTGGTAGCCCTAAATGGTTTTATGCCTTATCTGTGGGGGCTGCCTTATCTGGATGGAACCACACAAACAATGCCAAATTGGACCCCAAAATACGCAGGGCAATCCAATTTCAAACAGAAATCGAAACGTGAGTCCCGCTTCTGTGTCCTGGAATCCCGATCTCACGAACCGCCCCGACGACATGACTTTCGCGCTAAAAATGAACGAAAGCAAACCCTTTGTTACCATTGTACCTGCAGAAAGCTCCATCGTAATAATTCCGTATCAATGTGTTGTTACTTTTCACGACACATCGTGAACACCCTTCATCAACATAATACACATCCATATATCTAAGGACAATCGTGATCTTTCGCAATGGGTGCTGGGCTGAAATGGAGCAATGAAGAGAACATCTGCGCCTGTAAAGCCTACGTCGCATCATCTGAAGACTCCAAGCGTGGCATAAGATAGAAAAGGACAAAGCTAGAAGCCCGTGTACTCAAAGAGTACGAAGGTCTCATTACTGAGATGGAGGCGAAAGGATGGAGTGGATCGGGAACGAGACGTACATCAGAGGCTGTAGTGCAGAGGTACAAAGCTATCAAAAAGAAGTCTTTATGTTTCGAGCAACATGTGCAGTTAATTTATTCTGTCAACCCGACGGGAAATCCAAGCGAAAATGACATTATTCGTGCCGCAACCGCGATCGATAACAAGATACTTGAGGTGGGAACGAAGGGACGAAGGGATATGTATCGGATTTTTGGGGACGACCCGGCCAATCCCGGTAAATCGTTTAAGTTCTTGAATTGCTATTTGTGGTTGAGGAAACGCCGTTTTGGGAGGAGACGCTGCACGCTATTGCTGCTGCAAAGGATGCTATGAACGCATCTGAAATGAATATATCTGACGTCAAAGGTGGCGCAAATAGTCGAACTGTGTACATTGATGTGGATGAAGAACAAGATGTCAAATTTGACGTCAATGTGAATAGATTTCAAGGGCCAGTACGTTTGGATGAGAAGAAGCCAATGAGTGGGATAACTAGTTCGGGTCGAAAGCAACGACCGGTCGGTGCGAAGAAATTTATAGAAACTGTAAAGACTAACGTCGCTTTGAATAAGGGTGCGGACGGATTAGAGAAAATTGCACATGAAAGCAAAAAGCGAAATGACATCTCGGAGAGGTTGCTTGAAGTTGAAGAGAGAAACTACCGCATAAATCTGTTTCAAGTGCGGGGGACAGATCCAAGCCTCTTCAATCAATTTCGCTCACTTGAACAACAGAAAGTCCTAGCCGAGCTGGCCGGGGTGAGGGGGGTCAAGCCATAAATTCAAGGCCGTAATATGAACACGGTGACTGATGACTTGCAAGTTGAGAGCGATTCACAAGGAAAGGCGCCGTTTAAAAAACGATGTGTGCCCACGCCGAAGGTGAACAGACCCATGCAACTCGAGCAGACAAAGTGCGGAGCGACGCTCGCGTGACAGCTGCGATAGAGAGGGCCCCTGATGTTCTCCTTAGCGCCACATCGTATGAATCCTGCGGCGGACACGATGAAAACTCTTCAGGTAATACGTCTAATCAAAACCCTTCAAAGAAGATATCCGTGATGGAACCTATTGAGTGATAACATCTTGTCGGGTGTCTGCCTTGGCCACAATCCTGACTATCAAAATAAATATCATGGGTCCCGCACGAACTCGCAATATCCTTTCCTTGTATCATGTACCAATTCGTATTTGGCCATTTGTATTGAAACGTAAGAGGCTGGGGTTCCGCGAGTGCAGCTTAGAGATGAGGTGTAGAAGCAGCGATAGGTGGACCGGGTCGTTCCGACGCGTCTTGGTCGTCGAAGGCGGCAGCCGCAGCCGTGATGTAGCCAGAAACGTCAGCCATTGCCTGAGAAATTCGGACTTGTGGCTGGCGCGTCGAGTGGGATGAAGGTATTAACGGGGAGCGTTCGGCGAAATTCGCACGTGTGAGGGTAGAAAACAAAGAGCAGGTAGCGTCGACGACGCGCTGGTCCGCGGTGATGCCGGGGGACGCAGTAACATGGGATGGATAGCCGAAGCGGTACCTTCGAGCGATACATCGGCAGCGAGGACGCGGGAATCGCACATGAGCATGCCGGAGGAGAGGCGGGAGACCTAATTGTAGAGCAAGGAGGGGTCCGTGCGCTCGAATTGCCAGGGGGCAACGGTGTCCAGGCGCAGACGGATGGAGCCGCCTATCGCGGAATGGAGCTGTGTAAAGTTGCAGGTGGGCAAGGAATCGAAAGAGTCGAGGAAAAAGTGACTGGACAAGTTGGATAAGTCGCCGGAACGCATGCAAACTCGCTGCGACAAGAGGAGAGATAGGGCGTCCGGGACGGGCATGTGAGAGAAGTCAGAAAGGGGCAGCGGCGTGAGCTGGTTTGGGTATGTTGGGCGCGTCAGAGTGCAGTGCAGCCCAATAGGCGGAGGGAGGGAAGGACGGAGGGGATGGTGGAAGGTGGTGATGCGAGGAGTGTCTGAAGAAGAGCTTAGAAAGAAAAGCAAAAGTTTAGAACATGCATTGTTCGTCAACTACCGTGCACAAGAAACGTATCAATTATCATATAAAAACTACGACGTTTTGTGTAAATGATCAATCAAGGAGTTCACCAACCCAGCTCGTTCAGCTCGGTTTTTATGTCCGTGTTAACAGTACCATAGTTGTTGCTCAGTCTCTCGGATATTTGCATTTGCGACTCGGGGTTGTGGCATACGGACCCTGCACTATCCGCCCTAGAAATTCCATCTCCCTCACTTTCAAACAGCTCGTAGAGCCTCTCCCGAATTCCCCCGACCCCATCCCCAATATACCCATCCTTACGCTCCTCGAAGACCATATTATGAATAATGACACAGGCCTGTAGAAGACGGCTCGGCTAATACGCAGAAACGCTTAAATACTACTCCGAAGACACGTTCCACATTCTTTCGTACGGCTTCTTGTAGCGCTGCAAACCTCTTCTCTTTCCGATGAGAAGGGTTCGCCACAGTGCTGACGAATATTTTCCACTTTAGATATTTACCGTCTACTAAATAGTAACTCCAAGTGAACACCTCTCCATCAATATAACATACTGTATATCAATCGGGGGATAACTCCCATTTAGAATATTTGCGAAGTGTGGACTCACACTAAGAATATTAATATCGTTCATCGAGCCCAGAAAGCCGAAACATAAATGCCAAATTCTTAGGTCCATGTCGCAGATCACTTCCATACGTAACGTAGGCTTCCTTTCTTTCCCCACATTTATGCCCTGAAACGCTTTGGGGCACTGCTCCCAATCCCACCCCACGCAATCCAAGCACCCAATGCAGCCAGGGAATCCTAGTTTTTCAAGCGAGGAGGCAATCTCGTTAAGTTCTGTGGCGGTGGGCGCGCGCAAATAACGGGGACCAAATTGTTGTGCAACCGACCAGCAAAATTGTTTCATCGACTGCAGCGTAGTTGTCTTCCCTAGTCTAACATATTCATCTAAACTATCTGCAGGAAAGCCATATGCCAAGTACCGTAAGGATGCGACTACCTTCTGCAAGAGTGAAGCACCAGACTTTCCCGTGCAATCTGGTTTTAGCCCACGGCGCAAGAACTGGTTGTGCATGACAACGTGAGAAAAAATGCGATAAAATAGAGGGCGCGACATGCGAAAGCGCTGCTCAAACTGTTCCGAGTAGTACACAGGTCCCCTTCGCATAGAACCGTCGGGCCTCAAATCTGCGGCAGGCCAGAAGTAGTCTAGCATTAGACGCCGATGAGCGGCGCGGAAGTCACGCGCAACGTTCGGGCGACGGCCGGGACGAGAGCCGCTGGCTTGCTGTGCTGTGTTCTGAAGTTGTAACGCCGCCATAGTTTGCATTTGATACCACAAGACAGCGGCAAGTTCAAGCTCGTCCGAAGCGTCATCGTGGAGCATGTGGCGTAGTGTGCCCTTCGTGGGCATAGTCACTGCGAGTAGCAACCAACTGGTTGGTATTGGTGGTTGGTCTCGCGAAGATGGAGAGGGAGTGCGAGGTGAGTGTGGGACCTCACCGTAAAGTTGTAGTGCTGACCGGTGGGGTGCTCATATGAAAGGAGGCGGTCCATTCTAAATTTAGTTGGACTCTGAAATCCACCGTGATTGAAGCACCAACGCAATCGTCACACGTTTGGAGAATATGGATTGGACCCCTCCCACCGCTGTGGACGCTCTCAGTGCGTGAGCGAAGCATATGGATCGGGATCGCTATCCAGGGTCAAGATCCAAATCCCACGCGTACGCGGTGTACACGTGTTACAACTGAACAACAGCTGGTGGGAGTTTCAAAATACTACAGCCCATGATTTGGTTTGGTGCAATGTGATAAAAGGGAGTGCCCCCTGGCCAGGAACATGTGGAGAGGGATGTGCACAGGATATGTAGTAGCGATATACAACATACAAAGACTTCAAAACTGGGTCTTCCTTTGCAGCGGAGTAAATTAAATGAACGTGATCTTGCTGCGCACAGCACTCAGGGGGCGTTTTTGTGTATTCCCTGCCGTGCTTTAATCCGGTTCAAGTTACAGGCCGGTGGTGGAGTCGCGTAGACAGTGCATATGCCGTTCTATAGGAGAATGAGGAAGCACTGAAAATGGGTTTCCCATTACACTAGACACACACGTTTGGGCTGTCTGCCTCATAATTTTCTTGCAACAGAAAATGAAAACAGGTAAGACCAAGAAAGGAAAGGATCCCAGATGACTGCCATGTAATGATTTCAGAAGAAAAGCAAACCATATTTCAAAGATAAAACGTCACGAATCAGAACCAACTCATCAAATTATTTTGTACCAGTACAGAACAACGACACAATCACCAGGTCTGTTTGCATAAACGACACGGAGAGAAAGTAAGTCGCGTTCCTTAATGCGTAAGTTGCTTTTAAACGCTGGGAGAGTAGTCCACAGGCTTCCGATGAGCACGTGTTTCCGTATGGATGCACTGCGCTCGATACACAATTCCATATGTGCCACTCTTTCTAGCATGAGTAGGTGTCTCCAATATTTTGCATTTCTCTCCAAGTTGCGGTGCACCGTGACATTGAATTGGGTAGCATTTCTGTCATAAAACATAGTGATACATCCGTCGTCCCTGACACCCCACGCGTACACGCGGCTCACAGAATAATGGAATCTGCTATACTATCATCAGTGACTCTCTACGTCTCAATAGACATACATCTATACACACGAAGGCACGACATTGTTCTCAACAGAGCAGTACAAAATATAAATGTCCGGCCGGAAAAAGAAGGTGTACAATTTAGTCGCATTGATCAAGCGCATCTTGCTCAGTAAGAAAAACCCTCGGGTTCAGATAACGAGGAAAGCCGGGTTAGAATATCTACTAAAGGGCAGATAGTTTGCTAGTACAGTAGGACAAAGGTAACTGTTGCTAGCACTCGAGGAGTGCTCTCTGGGGCCCTGCAAGGGCTCCCGGCTCAAAGGAGAAAAACAGAGAGGCTGATGCCTTTTTTACTGAGCTGCATTGGGTCTATTCTCTTATACCAGACGGGTACCATATCGGTCCCGGGGATGGAGCCCTAGGGGGCTGGTAGGTACCGAATTTGGCAATACTGTAGCCAAATTTCAGACGTCCACCCCAAAATGGCAGCAGAATAAGAGAAGTTGGCGACGATCGGGGAAAGAGTAGAATCGGAGCAGAGATAACTTTAACGGAACAAGAAAGTAGAGCAAGAAGTGGGAACGGGTAACTCCTGCTGCCAAACTGAACTCCACTAGCAGACAGACAGCTTAAGTACAGAACATATTCTTGGACACAAGCTTCATCGTGAGGTTGGAATAAACAGTATGATACAAGTGGAAACAGAAAGATGAGATGAGACATGCAATAGAAACATTGCATGTAGGTGACAGACATAAGACACGTAATACATTTCATGTCCATGATACGAGATGGACACGACACAACTGAGCGACACAGTATCGTCATATGCCATTTCAAAACGTCCAAGTGGACATCATAACAGAAAGGACTTGGGGCTTGAGCGGTCGTGCGATAAAATGTTCGAACGTAATCGAACCAGAAATATGACGAGAAACTTATAGGTAGATAATCGGGCTTATGACAACGACATTCTTATACAGACAGCAGACTGCTACAGGAACCAAGAAGAAAAACAACAGCCAATCTTTCCTTAAAACGTTTTATCGCCCAACCTCACAACACCTCGTTTATATATCTCTAGCGGCATTTCCGTCGCTCCACTCAAAGATAGTGTTATTTACAATAAACCAAGAGGGCAAAGCACCTCTACCTTCACCTTTACAGACATTGCCCGCCGACTGTGCAACAATCATCCATGTTATTACGTTACGTGTCAAACCGCACAGGACAGTCCGTCCTTCAGGATAGACCTATAACTAGCGAGCGACGACGAGTAAACGAGGAGGCTTCGGTCTTCTGTTCACACAGGTTATGGACACCTTTTACTACCTTGCATAATTCAACCTTCCCCGCTTCACGATCGCAACCCACCACGACAAGAACAAACCGATCCCTCCCAACGCGGAGGAGCCCCAGGCTAACCCCATCTCAGCCCCTCACTTACGTCCCTCTACCGACAAATCCTACGACATCAACACACAACACGACAAACCACGTCCCTCCACCGACAAATCCTACCACATCAACACGAAACACGACAAACCGAACGACAAACTACACAACAAACTACAAGACAAATCACACTACATCTCACATCACTAACAACACTAACCAGGACACACGCACCATGGAAAAACGCCCCGACATCCCCCGCCTCGATCCAACCAACTACGGGCCGTGGATCGTGGCCACCCGAGCAGCAGCACACACGATCGCCGCCATCGACCACATCACCAGCAACCCCACTCCCCCACAAGACCCCACCGATCAAGCAACATTCAACCGCAACAAGAACCACCTACTCGGCAAGCTGATCACGTCCATACCAGCCCACATAGCCAACCTCATACTCACCCCCACAAGCGATCTAACTCCTTACGATCTCATACAGGCAGTCACCTCTCACTTGGACACAACCAACGCTTCAGACCACAAATACCTGAAGCAGCTAGCCGAGCAGACACATTTTCTACCCAGTATGACTCCTGATCAGTCTATCAAGGCCCATGAGCAGATCAGAACCAGAATGATCGCAGCACGGTTCCCAGAAATAGCCAACCCCAAAACAACAATAGAGTTCCTCATCGACGGCCTGCGGTTCAACCCTGCCACGGCCGCGATTGGCAGCCAGCTCATTGCCCTGGACCCCAACGACACAAAAGACTTTGTGCACAAGTTCAATCGAATGGACCTCTACCGGCAAGCGGCACAACCACGCACCTCTCAAATGCACGGCAAAGCCGGAGGCTCAAAATTTTTTCAGAAATCCAGCCTCGGCCCCTCAACGCTACAACCGCGTCTCCCGCTTGAACCTCCCGGTACCATCTAATCCATGCAGATTCCACATGTCACGAGGTGTCTCCCGCCCTCGACACACCGACGCCGAGTGCAATCACGCAGCACACCCCCGCCACCGTACCCGTCAACCCGTTCGCACCAAGCCGTACCAGACGGCACGGGCCGCTCAACGTCAAGACGATTACACAAAGGACCCGGATATGGAGCTGGACGACACAACCGATCACAGCCTGCACCATGACTACTGTACGTACATCCTCGACTCGGGCGCCCACCCAACACACATGGCCACCCTCGCCTCCATACAGACACCACAACCCATACAGCACAAAACAAAAACCGCAACTAACCAAATCGTAAAATGCAGGCACAACAGCAGTCGGTTCTAAAAAGGATTTTTCCAGAGTAAAAAGATTAACAATTTCCCCAAAAATAGGCTAAATTCTTACTGTAGTCATCCGCACATACCGTCTATTTACGGCGCGACGACCAGAACCGCAAGGCGCCTAGTGCTCCCCTTCGTATTACCGCACCACCCTCCCGCGGGCGCCGTCACCCATCACCCCCCGCATTGAACAAAAGGATCCCGACGGTTGCCACCCCCAATTGTATACCCGCTGATATGTAAATCCGCTAGACGATTAGAATGTCTTTGACAACACATTTGGCCGACTATACTGGCCTCCTTCGTCGCATAAAAATAAGGAAAAGTTTGCAAATTCTGACGCGGGGCAGAGGAGCCGAGGAGCGCAGCAGATGGCGCCACGGACCCTGGACCCCGTCCGAAACTTCCCATTCAACGCCTGGTGCAAGCGAGAAATTCTCTCGCAAACAGTCCCCGGCCAGTAAGTTAGGTCTTTCTGTGCACAGCCTTTCAACGAGGACTACGCCCTTAAAACACAACCGAGGCCACAGTTTTCCGATCGAGTGCCTCATCGCCAACCTGGCACGGCTCTCAGCTCCCTCAATCCCTCTGGCATTCGTCAGCTGCATCACAACCAGAAAAAACCTCTCCGGCCTCTCTCGCGTAAAGAGCGTGCCATGCTGTTCGAACAAAGTAGCGCGCGACCAGAGGCGAACGCGGTAGCGACTGTGCGCTGCACTGGGTGACCACATCTTCCGCAAGCGCATAACCTGGCGAATGCCAGCTTGCGGCACATAAGGCATTTCGCCCAGCTCTTCAATTTGAAAGCAGGTTTT